TTTTTTTGGAGTATAGTGAAGAGCTCTTGCCTGCAACAAACATCTAAACCTATTCTTCAAAACTCCAATTGTTCGCTCAATGATACTTCTTCCTATGGCATGTTGTTTGTTATATGCCCTTTGTAGAGATCCTTCCTCAGAATTTCTGAACGGCGTCATTAAGTAAGGTTTCAGAGCGTATCCAGCATCCCCTAAGGCGGAGAAAATTATTATAAAAAAGGAAATACATGTTGGCTTAGTTTTGATTACATACCAAGTAGCCAAGTATTTCGAAGACCATTAAGATGTTGCTGCTCTAAATGTGTTTTCAATGACGACATATTAAAAACCATAGTCATGTGTCGCTCCCGGATTTTTGGCATTTATTTATCGTATTTTCATTGTATGATCACAGACCTGAAAATTACATAAGCATACACATTTAGAATCAGAAGTTAATAACACATATGTATGTATATATGGACACTTACAACCATAGCATGCTGAAGAATCCCTTTCTGTTATAATACAAATGCTGCAGTTCCTTCCTAGGTGCGACAATTTTAATGTGTGTACCATCAACACAGCCGATTATTCCTGGAATTCTACTTTTGTTATAAAAATGTGATTTTGCTTGTTGCAGTTCAGCCTCTGTGTAATTGAATTTTATCCATCTTTGGCAAATAAAACTTTCCAGAACATCTAGCACTTCTGATAGCACCACAGACACCGTGGGCTGTGCAGGTCCAAGTATATTTTCATTGCCAATGCTAAGTTGGTACGATCCCTGAGCACAAAATCGCAGAACTGTTGCTAGCTTTAAAACATGCGGAATAGATTTCGCTCGGGTGCATTGATTCAGCAGGTCTTCTGTAGTGGTCAGCACGTCCACAAACGCCTCTTTAGATACTCGGAAGTTTTTTATAAATCTTTAAACAAATTTCCTAAATGTTACATGTGTATGTCAAAACCTTTTTGGAAGGCCACACTTACGCAGTGGAATCAATTTCTAAGGGGTTGGAAGCGTCCCTCAACCGTTTCCTATTTCTGGCCAGCTCCACTAAGCTTTCATCTTCTGATGAATCGCCAAACCACAACTCCGCCGTACTCATTTTCATTAAGTTCTTATCAACTCGTTTTCTTTTTAATTTATTTTTATTTAGACAAATTTGTAAACTATTTAGTTTTACGTTTTAATCAACTCGGTTTTTCTTTCTCAGCTGACAGAAATATACTATTGTGAACAATCTAAACGAGCGAAATTCACAATAGCGCTATTCTTCATCGAATGAGCGCCATAATACCAAATGAAAATTCGTTCGCTCAGCACTTTCGACCACAGTCGAAAATCGAATGCAACTCATAATAGGGGCCTCTGTTCGACAGAAAATTCGATACTCAACGAAAATTTTGACACGGTTGCATAGCTCATAATACGAATTTCACTTTCGATCTTCGATAACCAGCGAAGATCGAAAATCGAATGCAACTCATAGTAAAACTATGTTCACATATCAATATTATCTCAATCAAAGCTCGTTTTTTAATCACCCCGTTTACACAGGCAAATCTCAGATTATTCGCCGTCAAATTTGTTGTGCTCGTTATTCTCACATCTCAAGGAAAAGTTATGTTTCTTCTCTGTGCCACCGTGATGACGTTTTTCTGCTATAATAAGCAATATAAATATATTTTAACTTAACATTTTATTAAAAATACCTTTACAAACCTCTTTTACTTGCTAGCGTACATTTTTGTTTACTTTTACATTTGGCATTTCTCCTCTTTTTCGCAAAAACAATCGATAAAACTAGGATGGACACCGAAAAGTTATCGGTTAAATCTGAGATTATTTTATAATTACAGATTAACAAGGGACGAATTTTATATGGCTAATCTCTTGTTATAATTACAGATTAGGGTGTTAAGCTCAAAAATGAGGATAATTTACTTATATGTGAACCTAGTATAAGGGCCAAAGTTTAAACGCCCGATCTGGCTGGTTTAAACTAAGATCAGCCAATCAAATGCCAGCCAGCTGTTCAACTCAGTTTACTTAATCTAAGTTTAAACTGGCACTGAAAAACCGGCCCTTAACGTTTTCTGTTCCTGGCCAATGTTCTATGCTCTCATCCTCTGACGAATCGTTCAACCAGAACTCCGTTGTACTCATTTTTACCACGTTTTTATAAACCCGCTTTCCTTTATATATCGTTTTTATTTGCACAAATTTACATAAATATGTATAAGCACACTATTTAGTTTGCTCGATTTGTAAACAAAGCTTCTCAGCGGTGAAAAATATACTATTGTGAACAACCTAAACGAGCGAAATTCACAATAGTGCTATTCTTCACCGAATGAGTGCCATAATACCAAATAAATTCGTTCGATCAGCACTTCCGACCACAGTCGAAGATCGAATGAAACTCATAATAGGGGCCAATGTCTGAGCCTTTAACAACTCCATTCCACTTGTCACTAAAACATGGGGTTTTTCGTCAGCTTGTAAAGAATCTTTCATAATACCACTTCACACAAACGGCAGCAAGTCCTCTATAGAAAACTATCGAGGCATAGCGAAGCTCTCCGCTATCCCCAAATTATTCGAAGCAATTATTGTTAATCAGCTGACATATTCTATATCTTCTTCAATTTCACAATCTCAGCGCGGGTTTTCTAAAGAAAAATCTATTAGCACTAATTTATTGGAGTTTACAACTTATGTCTCAAACGATTTTAGAGAAAATGCTCATACCGACGTAATATACACCGATTTCAGTAAAGCTTTTGACAATGTATGTCACTCGTTACTCATCCGTAAACTCGACCTAATCGGTTTTCAGCAAAGTCTTCTTCAATGGATCTCTTCTTACCTCTCCGATAGAACACAAAGAGTTATTTTTAAAAATTGTTCTTCCAGCATCCAGTTTCTTCAGGAGTTCCTGATATGATATTTCTTCTATAATAAAATATTCTAAAATTTTAATTTATGCCGATGATGTGAAACTTTTTAAAATATTGTCCTCTATCGAAGAAAGGTCTTTGTTACAAGCGGATCTGGGCAACGTGGTTAGTTGGTGTAATGCAAATTATATGCCACTTAACCCTAAACAATGTAAAGTTATGTGTTCCTCTCGAAGGGCAGTTCAACCAGCTGTTTATTCAATTTCAAATTATAATCTGGTGCAGGTATCTAATTTTGTCGATCTTGGTATCACAATAGATTCCAAACTCAGTTGCAACCTTCATATTAATATTACAGTCAATAAAGCCAAAGGTGTTTTTGCATTTGTAAAGCGATGGTCAAAAGAGTTTAAAGATCCTTATGTTACAAAAGCTCACTTTAGTTAAACCTAAACTAGAATACTGATCTATTGTTTGGAATCCCCGGTATCAAGTTTATTCAGATAGGATTGAATTAATTCAAAAATAATTCTTGCTTTTTGCATTGCGTGATTTTAACTGGGATTCATACTACAATCTCCTCCTTACACTAGTCGTCTAAAGCTCATAAATTTGCCTACACTCGCAAGTCATAGAGAAATGCTAGGTATAATATTTATCGTAAAATTAATGAGAGGCTTGATTAATAGCCCGGCCCTTCTGGCTGAGGTAAATTTTAATGTTCCCTCTCGAGTGTCAAGACTCTTTCGACCTCCATTTTTGAAGCCATGCAAACCTAATTTTGAACTAAACGAATCATTCCGTTGTTTATGTCGAGATTTTAACTCTGATTCCGGCACGTTTGCTATAAAGAAAACTATCAGTTTCCCTCTCAATAATTAAAATACTATCTTTAGCATATTCTGTAGCTGAATAGTTTTAGATCTCAACACTTGCCAAACTTCTATTTCCACGACTCGGCATGCGGACTGCTCCCTTTGTGTCGGTTGGGCGGGAATGGAGGGTAAAAGCCGTTGGGAATAATTAATTAGTTTTGACTTGTTACATTTAGTTCAGTAAATTGTTATTTCCTGTTATTATGATAACAATGTTTTCCAAACAAACTGGTGGATTGGGAGCTATATGTGAAATTAAAAAATTTCTCAAAAACTTGCATTTGACTGTAAATTCCGCCTTCAAGAAAAATTTCTATTTCCAGCTTGTTTGAATTCTCGCTTAACGACATTTAGCTAAAAATTTAGAAGTTATAAGTTATTTTTAGTACAGTCAAGTTATTGTTGAAAATTAGTCATCGGCATGGTTGTCAATTTACTTTGAATGCTAAGAGAAGGGTTGCTCGGGATGTAAAAGTTGATTTTTTCGCATTAAAGTTAACTACTACAGGTCGGAAAACTTTTTAAAATTTTAAAATTACTTGGTGTTATTAAATGCACGTTTATGTAGCTACAAAACTAATTTTTCAAAGTGACAAAAATAAAGGAAAATTTCTTGCTTGGATGATGAGCAGCCAACTGTTAAAAATGTTATTATAGCTCGTACATATATAAAAAATGTTCTTTAAACTTACGAATACTTTTGGGAAAAGGTATCCAAATTTACACTGAGGAAAAAATCGAAGTATCCCTCCAAATTTAAGGCGAAAATTTATCCAATTGGATACATATGTATCAAAGCGGCAGCACTGTTTGGGAGCAGTAAACGAGATTATCCCTACGTCCTATAGCGTCATCTGTCAGTGTCCCGTGTTATGGTCTGTCAAAATTTATTGGAAAATTCTTAGGTGACTTAACGTCGGAGGAATACAACATACGAAACTCATTGAGACTGAAAGAAAGATTAGAGAAGGTGCGTATATGTGAAGAGGACTTATTAGTATCATTTGACGTGGTGTCATTATTCACCAACATTCCCACATATCTATATATGTGCAAATTCAGTCAAATTATGTCTAGAACAAACATACCAAAAAACAAGTTTTTGGATCTCTTAAACTTCTGTCTTAAAGATAACAATTATTTCATGTACGATGGCAAAATCTACACATAAAGTTTTGGGATGCCGATGGGTAATCCCCTCTCCCCGACTATAGCAGATATAATCATGAACGACTTATTGGATAATACAATCTCGGGATGAAAGAAACTTCACAACATTGACATCTAATTCATAGTTAAGTACGTGGACGACATCTTCGCGATAGTGAAACGAATCGACGTAGATATTATTCTGAAAACAGTAAACCGGTACCACAACAAGCTGCAATTTACTATTGAAAGCGAGGAAAATTTCAAGATCCCCTTTTTAGACGACCTCATCCATAGAAAAAATGACGAAATATTACTTGACTGGTACTCCAAGCCTATATCGTCTGGACGAATAATAAATTTTCTGTCCTCGCAACCCATGAAATATAAAATTAACGCAACAAAAAATTTGATAAATAAAATACTGACCATAAGCCACAAACAATTTTTAGATGAAAATACAAAGAAAATCTACAAAATCCTCACAAACAACAATTACCCCAGTCACCTTATAAAAACTCTAATAGAACAAAAATTAACAGAAGTAAACAACAAAGAAAATAAAATAACACCCACCGCAACAACAACTGAAACAAAACAATACTTTAGCGTTACATACATACCTAAGTTGACGGACAAATTCAACCACAACATAAACGAACATAAGAAAAACATAACTCTGGCGTACAAATCAAATTGCACACTGTCCACAATCTTCACAAAAACTAAAAGTCCTATCGAAACCTACCAACAAAGCAACGTGGTGTATGAAGTGAAATGCATGGGAGGAGAAAATGTAGACTGCAACTAAATATATATAGGTACAACGAAAAGAACACTGGGAATCCGTTTAGCAGAACACGAAGAGGACATAAGAAAGGAAAAGAAAAACACAGCACTCGCACAACATATGATAGAAAACAGTCACACAGCTGATCTTGCAAACCAAGAATGATAGAATACAAGATTGCGCATTCCTGCGGGTGATGACGTCAAGATAGCAACGAATAGGAAAGAGTAATTGGAGATGGAGGAGAGAAAGAGTGTTAACCGTCAAACCATGGAGGTCGCCATATTTACATGCATATAAACATCTCTGCATACATACAAACAGTTTGCTAAAATAACGTCACACGAACAACTGATTCTGTCAAATTCGCCAAGAGCAAAGTAGCCGTACTGCTGATTGCGCCACCTCTGTCTCCCTACATCGTGTTGCAAACGCAAGAATAATAGATGTTGAAAAGAGAGAGAGGACAAGATACACACTAGAGAGCCTTCGCATATTAGAGAATAGAAAAAGAACGATGAATACAAAACAAGACACAGATGATATTGCGGCTACTTATTTATTATGTTTCCCTGCAAAAATCGCGACTACTCCATGCATGCGTGTAAAGAGTACTACCTAAGGGCCAAGGAGTACTCCAAAATTAACCACAATTCATATAAAAAATATGGTCCAATTAACATTGCGATGTCCTAGGGCAGGACCATATACTCCATCCCCGCATTACATCAGAGTAGCACAAAACTACTCGAACATATTAACAATGGCATTATTGCTATATTTTTTCCTTTGTACACGCTTTTGTTTTTCACTTCTCAAATACTTTTTCGAAATTAATAAAAACCAAGACAAAAATTAAATATTATATGTTGCCTCTGACGGTATTCGAACCCGAACATGCTGGGAGCTAAGAACTAACAGCGAGCATACCTACACGTTCAGCTATAGCCAGACATGCAAATGCGCTTTCAAATGCTTAACTTCATTCACGTTTCGTTAAAACACGAGCAGTGATCGGATAACAAACAATGAGCTAGCGCAGAGACACCAGTTGGTAGCATGACAGAGGAACACTTTTGTAAGTACTCCAATTTACCACAAATAGACTACATGATCCAACGATTTTTGCAGGGATATTCTAAATTTCAGTTTAAGGTTTTGTTAAATTTGCTTTAAGGGTATATGCATTTTGAATAATACTATTATTTAAAATTCTTATTTTCATAAACATTCTGGACCGGAAAAACAATCTTTTAACTTTAACGTCGCAGTCCACTTCACATGCTATCTCAACGTGTTGTTTTATGAAGGCATCGGTAATCAATAAGCCATCTCCATTAAGGGCCGGTTACTCAATGTCTGGTTAACACTAATCTGCGGTTAAACATCGTTATCGACGTTTACGACTCCATGCATATAACAGGGAGTCGGTAACGTCGATAACTATGTTTAGCCGGAGATTAGTGTTAACCAGACATTGAGTAACCGGCCCTTAGTGATTTAAATATTTTTTCAAGTTCGTTCAAATCACTTAAAAGTTTGTTATTGGGCTTTATTAAACCGCCTTCACTAAGGTGGTTTACCCAAGTGAACGTCCCATCTGGGCGCTACAATTTCAGACACATCATTTTTTAGACGACGACAAATGTATCCCGCAAGATTTTCTAAAGCCTCGTATTCAAGAGACTGCAATTCTTTGTCCTTGCCTTCGTCATTCTCAGGTAGCGTGGGGCCAATTTTAGAAAACAATTTTCCTACGAGCAAATGTAGCATGTACAAATTTGTAAAATAAGCAACAAAAAAATGAGTAAGGAAAGTATCTGTTAATGGAGGATTTGTTTTTCTATGTCCGGGGTATCGTCTTCCTCTACATTCGCGCTGTTGGATAAAACGCCAAGATTGTTACCCAATAGGTAGCTGCGTAGCCTATATTTGAATTCTTGGCGATCTGGGTGTTCGTGTAAACTCCCTTTTGAACGTATTATGCCAAAAAATTCTCCAGGACGTGATTTAGACGGTACGTTAAAATGTACTTCACATTAAAACGCTTTTGCAAGTCTGCATACAACAATTTTAGTGCCCTATTTGATTGAAGTATGCCTACAAAATGGAAATCTAGAAATTAATTTATTTATTTATTATAACTTGGTTTTGAACTTGCCTTTTTGAAATGGGAGCAATGCCATCCTATTTCCCGCTATCATATTTGCTACCAACTCACTCATTTCGTCTATAATTTTATTTTGTACTTGGAGAGCAAGGCCATATGCATGCACTCGTTCTCTGGAATCTGTATATGGGACGCGCGTGTTCATCACATCGAACCAATCGTTGACCTGTTAATATAAATGTATATATACATAAACGTCAAGTGTAAGTTTGTATATTATAAAAGCCTTACAGTTTTGAAAAGTTTGTGACATTCCCGCCAATTTCTCCCGTTCAAGAACCCCATGCTTGCAGCTCTTGTTATTGCCTGAGCAATCGTGTGGGAAAATAGCTTCGTTGCCATTTTCACATTTTGTCGCTCACAACCACCAACTAGTAAATGGCTGCTGCTTATCTTGTGCGTGATTCGTAAATCTGTTGAAGTGCAAGATAGTAGATCAACAATGATATCTTTTTGCACCACCCAAATCGGTGACCATAGCAGCAACAGTAAAACCACACGTTTTTACGGACTTTAAAATGTCTTCTACAATTTCCACAGATAGTTGGCAGTCAAAATTGTAATAGAGAGGTTGTTTCCATTTTGATATTAGTCCTTTGTAAATTGACATAAAAATTTAGATGGTTAAAAGTCGAAGCTCAAATTTTCACATACATACCTCTGAGCAATCCAACTTGTACATAATTCACAGGGCTTAAGGCTCTGTTATGCATACTTGGCATTGCTTGAGAGTTGTCACATAAGGAATCCGTTAAATGAGCTTCGCGTGTAAGCTGTTACCCAACGCACAGCATTACATACGTAGAAGTCTGTTGGTTTTTGATTTCCACGTAAAAATGGTATAGCAGTGCATGCACTGCCAAGTATGCATAACAGAGCCTTTAGCGTTGTGTCAGTCGATTTGTCATAGCAGTATGCTCTACGAATTTTCATTTCGTCTAGGCTTAGTACACAAATCTTTTACTAATCAGTCATCTCTTTCGTTGCCGCTAAGATTTTAATAATTGGTTGTATTATACCCGGAGAAATATTAATTTTGGTTGCCCAATGTTGAAGGGTTCGAATAGCAGGTAATTGCTTTTTTTAAAGGAGCCTATAACCCTTTGCGCTTGCTGAATACAGTGTTATGGAGTTTGCTATATCATTTTCTGACCAAATTTGCCGTTTTTAAATTTTTTATTTGCCCTTTGGTAAAAATTCCCAAAAGCTTCTCCTCCATATTTGCTTTTTCTAACTCAGCTCTTGCTAATTTTTACACTTTTATTTTTTCATAAATATGCTTTCGTTCCGAGTGTCGCAACTGCTGTTCAAGTAAAAATTTCAATCGCTTTAAGGGCCGGTTGTTCAATGTCTGGTTATCACTACTTGCCGGTTAGACATCATTATCGACGATTTCGACATCATGCGTTTAACATGTGTTCGATAAAGCAGTCGTTGTATCTAACCGGGCTTCTACCTCCAATTTGTGCTAATCAGACATTGAACAACCGGCCCTAATTTGTGTCTGATAATATAAAGTAATACATAAACATGATAAATAAACTGCAACCATTAGTGATTAGTGAGTTAAACTTACATCTGATTTTTCAATAATTTAAGTTCAGCTGAATTGTCTTCAACATTACCATTGCTTGTTATGATCGGGTTGTAAACTGTTGTGGGCGATGTCTGTGTACCTGTCTCGCATGTTTTGGTTGCGGCTGCTACGCCGGCGTGAGATGTGCGCTGCTTGGAAAGAGCACTCGATGGTCGCATACCTACTTCTATTTTGCAT